TTTTTTCCTGTGTCTCCTTCAGGAGTGCCACGAGAAAATCCGTGTTCTCTCCCAAGAGGCAGCAGCTGTGGTTAAACAGGAAGGTGGAGACAATGACCTACTGGCCAGAATCCAGCGAGACCCCTACTTTGCACCCATTTTAGGGCAGCTGGATGCTTTGCTGGACCCCAAGACCTTTATTGGGCGTGCTCCACAGCAGGTACAGCATAAACAGCCTTATTTTTGTTCAGTCTGACAACAGATGAATGTTTTCAGCCAAGCCTTGATGATAGTTTCTTTTCTTGTTCCTGCTCCTCTTCTTCAGGTGAAAACGTTCCTGGCTGAAGAAGTACGCCCCCTACTGAAGCCGTATAAGGCCAATATGGATGTCAAGGTTGAGCTTGTGCTTTAAAACATCAGTGATGTCTTAAGCTGGTTTTATGGTCAAGCAGAGTTTGCTGAGCGCATTAAAAAGAGCATTAAAAACAGTAAAATGTCCACTGCAGCCACTGTGTTTTGTTTTTATCTTTGAAGTTTACACAGACGGGCCATGAGACCAGCATTACTCACACTGACATGGGAAACACTTTGAGTGGCAAATTTTGCAAATATTCTGAAGTAAATTTTGTGACCTTTAAATGGCCCTATCAAGTCTCCTGGTCTTAATAGACTGTTAGTGCACAGTAAAAAGAAATGGTGTACAAGTCTGGAAACACTCTGCATTTCCAGAGTTTCATTTTATTAAAATAATATCAAGAAAAAATCATAAGGAACCCTGTGTATACCCTATACAGCAATACACTGAAAATTTGAAAAAATAAAATAGGTGAAATTGAATTTTTTTGGGTTTTTTTTAATATTAGATAAATGCAACTGATAATAACAGATTTTTCATTATTCTTATATGCTTGGGTCAGCGCTAATGGTAGCAAAGCTATCTTTCTCTACAGGGGTGTGGAAAGGATTTTCCAGGGTGCGGAGCTGGGTCTCCAATTCAGTAAGCCTGACCTCCAGAACCGTAAATACACAACTTGCCTTACAAGCATCATTATTGCCTAACGAGGCAGAAGTAGCAAAAGATCTGACACAGAGATCACTGAGGAAAATACAGAAACAACAAGTGAAGGAGCCACTGGCTCAACTACAATCTATGATAAGCTAGAAAATTCAAAAGGACAAAGTGAATGAATAATGTGAATATAATTACCAGGTGATTCAACGAGTTTGACTTTTTGCTGGCAACGTGGACCAAGCTCTCATAACGTGCCAGAATATCTCTTGGAGCGACCCCAGAGCTGTGGCATCACTCGGCATCTTGTGGCATCATTTCATGGACTCACCATAAACAGCTGTGAGAGCTTGTCAGCTTGGTGCTGAGGCCACAAAGAAGAAGCAGAGCCGTTTCACATAGAAAAGTCTAGGAGATAAAGGCTGACTTGTTGGCAAAAATGGATTAAAATTACCCGAAATAACACGGAGGTGTTATTTTTTTGCAGTCCAGTACAAGAGCACCTGGATGCAGCCACTGGGGAGCGCCATATTGCGACCGCCACACTAACCGGAAACACGTGACCTCCACACTAACCGGAAACACGTAACTTCAAAATAAATTTGGTTCTAAGTGTTTGGTTTTTTTAAAACTCTGGGTTTAATAAATAAAAAAAAAATCACCATTCCTTCAGCTTGTTCGTGGCCAAAAGTATCCATGTGTTATGTATTTGTTTTTTTGCTACATTTACTGCATAAAGGTTTTTTCATAAATATAAACTAGTCATTACTAGTACAATGCACTTGTTTAAAGACAACCTCAAAACTCACCATTTCATATATCAGCAGTGCTACTGGAAATTATTGTAGTGGTCCCTCACAATAACGTGGTTCACCTTTCGCAGACTGTTTCAATTATTATTATTATGTATTTTATTTATTTTTTTTACAGTAGCTAGATTGTGTTGTGCGTTGTGATTGCTGTAGACCATTGTCAATCAACCTAGTACAGTCTCCTGTACAGCAGCGGTCCCCAACAGGGCCACGGACCAGTACCGGTCCGTTGAGTTGGTTTCCCTGGATCTTTTCCCGTGTTGTGGTCGTGTGTCTTATTTTGAAAGAACTATTTACGCGTTACCATAGCGACCAGAGA